AAAAAAAAAAAAAAAAAAAAAAAGCCAGTGGAGAGGAGAATTTTAAGAAGATAGATGGGATGGCCAGCTGTGTTGAAGATGTCAGGTATGAATAGAACTGCAAAGTTCCTTTGCAGTCTGGCCGTTTGTTCTGAAAAGATCCTAGAAATACTGTTGTCCTTTGAGAATAGTGAATAAATTCTCTCAAAGCTACCAGTTACAGTTAATACACATTCTCAGTCTTTATAGTTTAAGGATCATATAATATGACCAATTTTGCCATTCAAAGAAACATCAAAATTGAAATAATTTAGGAGAGCACTGAAGGCCAAAATTTGTCTATATTGAGGTGGCAGTCGAAGCCTTTAGAATAACTGGATTTTATAAGAGGGAGAGCAGAAGGTTAAGGATGAATGGTGAGGAAACCCTCAAAGTTAGGCTTAGCACAGAGGGAAAGTACCCAGTGAAAGAGGTGAAGAGGAGTGATCTGGAAGTCTGGAAAAAAACTCAGGCAACCAAGCATGGATTGTAGCATGCTATGATTCAGCTGGTAGGGTTTCCAGAAGGAGGTTCTTCCAGGTCTTGAGTTTCAGATTCTGCATAGAGACCAGGGAGAATGAGGACTAGAAATAAATGTCTATGATAGTGTCACAAGATCCTTGGAGATATGGATGCAAGAATTTTCCGGACAATGTGGGGGCACAGAAACCAGACTGTCTGCCATTAGGAAAGGAGAAGGTGGAGATGGAATGAAGCCATCTATGTCTTGCACTGCTCCAGCACACACAGTGAGCATAAAAGAAAAAAGAATGGTGCAGAGCTAAGCGAGGGTGGAGTGAAGACAAGATGGTTGGGTGCAGAACATCCTGGGAAACAAAAGCAAGTAGAACTTTGTAGCTCTTTAGAGGTATTTCAGAAATGTTTCCTCTGATAAATAAAGAAAAAAAGAGGGCTGGGTGCGGTGGTTCACGTCTGTAATCCCAGCACATTGGGAGGCTGAGGTGGGCAGATCACCTGAGGCTGGAAGTTTGAGACTAGCTGGCCAACATAGAGAAACCCCGTCTCTACTAAAAATACAAAAAAAGTAGCTGGGCAAAGTGGGGCATGCCTGTAGTCCCAGCTACTTGGGAGGCTGAGAAAGGAGAATTGCTTGAACCCAGTAGGCGGAGGTTGCAGTGAGCCAAGATCGCGTCACTGTACTCCAGCCTGGCTACAGAGTGAGACTCTGTCTCATAAAAAATAATAAAAATAAAATAAAAAAATATAAAATTAGGTGGGCGTGGTGGCGCATGCCTGTGATCCCAGCTGCTCGGGAGGCTGAGGCGGGAGAATCTCTTGAATTTGGGAGGTGGAGGTTACAGTGAGCCAAGATGGTGCTATTGCACACTCCACTCTGGACAACACGAGCAAAATTCCATCTCAAAAGAAAGAAAAAAAGAAAGAGAAAGAAAAAGAAAAAGAGAACACTCAGGGAACCAGTAAGTCAGATAGCACAGGTAGGTACTTGGAAGGAGACAGAAATCAGAAATAAGAGACACGGTTGAAGAGCTCACATCAGTAACATAGGAAACCATCTGTTGGATGAGCCATTTACACTTTATCATTGGGAACTTATAAAGAACAGGCGTATGGTATCACTAGAAATGACTGAAAAAAGTCTACATTTTAGAAGTGCTATTGTGGTGAATAGCATGTGCAAGAAAGTGAGTGCTCAGGAAAATAGGCTTGGACACCTGGAAAGATATACCCCTCATTGCCAGTAAATTGACATTCTAACCTATGCCTCAGCATTGTGTGAATAGTCATTGTAAGTCTGTCATCAAGTGTCGGGCTACCTCTGGTCATGGTGAAGTCTAGTTTCTGGACCTGCAGGGCTATGAGGAACAGAATCTAGACTGTGGTATAAGTTTTTTCAAGTAATTCAAATTTATATTAAATGTATATTTTAAAAACCCTTTTGATAATCAGTGTAGTCTTATGGGCAACCTTTTGTTTGCTTCATTATGTATTCCTGTACCCTCCATGAGTGGTGTTAGGAAGACTATCATTAAGCATTACTTTCAACAGTTAGTTGGTAAAGAGCTGATATTCACTCAAGAGCTGATGATTAAAAATAGAAAAACAGTTTTAGGAACTGTGGAGCTTAGAGAGTACAAACACAAGTCATTCTTGCTGCCACTCTCTTGCCCCGTACTCATGTCAGACATTACTAATTGATTACACATCTTCCTGCTGAACCTACACTGGCTGCAGAATTATTCTTAATAAAATTAATCCAGGAAACCCACAACCGATTGCCTGAATTGACCCATGTGAACAAAAACTCTGCCCTTTCTGGTTTAAATGAGTTGCAAGGAATTCTGGTCATCAAAATTACAGAATTCAGCTGGAAATAACCTAAAGGATGATTTATCTTTTGAGTTTAATGTCGTGGGGGAAGCTAATATGGTCTTTGGCCAAAAGTCTCTGGAAAGTCTGACAGAAATAATGCCAGACTGGATAAATAGACAAATTATCAGGATAGAATTGTCTAGACCACTAATGTATTCACTGTGATGGCTTCAACCAGAACAGAATTTGCAAAGAACGTTAGAGGTCATTTCCAGGCTTCACCTTTCTTTTTTTTTTTTTTTTTTTTTTTTT